CCATATAGCTACAAACACTTTTATGTCTGTATCTGTGTATATATACATATATATATATATATATACATGCATGCATGCATGCATGCATGCATGCATGCATGCATGCATGCATGCAAGTACGCACTCCCGCGCGCGTTTGTGTGATCGGTCTGTGTGTGCTTGTGTATCCAGCGTTTTGTTACAGCAAAGGTTTAGGTTGCCTTATTGCGTGTCTAGGGTTCAGGGCTTAGGGTTGTCATTTAGTTGAGGGGCACTTGTTGTAGGGTCTTGTAGCTGTTTTCAGGGCTGAAGGAGGTCTTATCGAGTTCAGCTTGAAGCTTTTGTTTCTGCCCTAGCTTCTGATTGGCCTATCACCTTTGCCGCTGATACTGCTACATTTCGATTGTATGTATACGTGTATAGTAATGGATATACTTATGTATATATAGAAACGAGTATGCATGTGTGTGCGTGTATGTATGTATGTATGTATGTATGTATGTATGTATGTATGTATGTATGTAGGCACGGACGTATGTAGGTAAGTATGGGTAGGTAGGTACGTATGTATGTATGTATGTATGTATGTATGTAAGGAAGTAGCTTCTGGAACGGTAGGTAGGTAGGCAGGCAGGCAGGCAGGCAGGCAGGTAGGTAGGTAGGTAGGTTAGTAGGTAAGTAGGTAGGCGGTAGGTAGGCAGGTATGTGTGTGTGTTTAAGTAGGTAGGTAGCTACTAGATAGGTAGGTAGGTAGGTAGGTAGGTAGGTAGGTAGGTAGGTAGGTAGGTAGGTATGAACGTATGAATGTATGTATGTATATTTAGGTACCGAAAGTTTACGTGTCTGTAATTGCAAGTAGTTGAGTAAACGAAAACATACAAGATGAGCGCTCATTAAAGGTTCATGCCACGTGCCAGGTGCACATCCTGACTCACTCCTGTGGAGCAGAGCAGCTCGGTTGCTATTTGAGTCAGTCGGCTGTTTGTCCAGACGGGATAAAGCTTTGGGGTCGGGGCAACCATGTTGAATGTTTTTGGGCTAGGGGGTTGAGGGTTTAGGGTTTTCGCTCGGAACTAAGCCCGGCGCCCTTCTGGATGACAGGATAACGTGTGGTTGAACTGCAATTGTTACAGTTGAATGGCGGCCTTCATGCTTGCCAACATGACTGTCCCCAACGGGTTTGCCAAGAATTTGAAAGTTCTTGTTGTGAAGGCTTTCCTGCAGATTCTAACATGCGCTGGGATTTCGGTTTAACCGTTTGCCTGTTGTGCACAGCTGTACACACACTGGTTTTATTTTCCAATACTTGATTTCTTCGTCTATTTGTTCATCTATGTACTTGCTTTCTTGCGCAAATATACACATAGAGACCCGTCGCCGGCTGCACTTGACCAATAGCCGTAAGCCTTGAACTTGCAAGTTCGCCGCTGAAGATATGTCTCATAGGAGTGCACCCGTGAAGACACCTCTCAGGGAAGACTGCAAAGTACGAGATTACAGGTTTCACAGTACTTCCGAAGCAGCACCCGCCCATGAAGCATCTGGAGTGCAACCCCAAACCCTAAACCGTTTGTTTTCAGGTTTCTCTTTACAAACTGGTCTGCCATTGCAGAGTGCTTCATGCCATCGAGACGGAAGAGGCCAGGGGGCTATGGCTCCAGTTTAGGGCTGAATATTGGGGCCTAAACAATTACCAGTCTAATTTTTTGGGGGTTCCTTGTTATCAATGTCGTGGGACGGGCCAAACCCTATTCTAATTCTTAAGGCCCCTACTATAGAACCCTATCATAGATCCCTTAAAGAGCCCATTAAGAATGCATTTTTATGTCCCCTATATTATCAGGCGGGGCAGACATGTCCAAGAGCTCCTCGCAAATCCCCCAGAGGCTCGAATAGGCACCCGAAGCCTTAAACCGTAGAGCAACACCGTGATGCCACTCTTGGAGCCTTTTGACCATCCCAAACCCTAAACCCTAAAACCCCAAACCACAAAGCCCCTCATGTACAATCTAAGGGAGTGAAACCCTGAACGTCAAAACCCCCAGTTGAGAGGCCGAGAGCCGATCTGCAGTCCCAGACCCTACAGACCGATCATCTGTGACCTCCGAAGTAAAGATAGCGTTTAGGGTTTAGGGTTCAGCTGGGGGTTTAGGGGTTTAGGGGTTTAGGGTTTAGGGTTCAGCTGGGGGTTTAGGGTTTAGGGTTTAGGGTGGATCCCAAAGCCCGTAACATAGTGGACACCTGGAGCCACAGTTAGGAACCCTGCAGGTCCAAAGGTTGCGCCTGAGCATATGGGAATAATGTAGGGGCCGTAATAATTAGAATAGGGTTGTTTTGATGTATATTGTACGGTAATTATACTAAGGAGTTCCCCCCAAATAACATTGATACTTATTTCGGCTTCTGGATTCATTGGGACTGCCTAGAACCTTGCAGTCCGAGCTCCCTTAGACCCTGCAAGGTTCGCTTCTGACACCCCCCAAACCCCAATAACACCATCACAGGCCCCTCATACCTTAAGGACGAAATGACCCGTAAAAGGGATTAGGGTTCATATACCATATAGGGATTCATAATATAAGGGTTTTGGGCCCTACTTTCAAGGGTGCACCCTTCACTTTCGCGGCCCCTGACAAATTCTCAAGGAGTGCCTGCACAAAATGTGTGTAAGACACTTTTGAAATAACATCCTATGCTAAAACCCTTATATAACCCTAAACCCTAAACCCTAAACCCTTAACCCTAAACCCTAAACCCCAAACCCCAAACCCTAACCCTAAGCCCTAAACCCTAAACCCCAAGCCGGGAAGCTTCTCCGAAAAGGCCGGAGGTGGCGGCCAGTCGGGGTGCCGCTGAGAACAACAACTCAACGAAGCGGCCACGCTGGATTCCCAAGCATTCACGTGGCTAGCCCTGATATTGGTTTTGGGTAGTTTTGTAGGAGTGCTACATGAACTCTTATACTACATAAAGAGTATGTAATATATAGCATGGTATATGTCATATTCACATATTATGTAGCATCTTCTTAGAGCTGTTCTGGAATTTGGGCTTTAACAGGCGAATTCTGGGAGACCATTGGATTTGACTTTAGGGGCTGTATAGTGCGTTGACACGGAGGTGTTGTGCAAAGCTGGGCACCTTATGCTTGTAGGGTTTAGGCCTGTCGGGTCCCAATACTCTTTTTGTACGGTCCAGGGAGTAATTGCGAGATTGTTCGAGCGTTTTATGTTCATAGATTAGCCCGATTTGCCCCAAGACATCAACCCTTAACATCCGTGCTTTGGGTTTAGGGCTTCGAGCGTGCATCGTACAGCGTGTATAGGTACAGTGTAGGACCTAGAACTGCCAAGACTCAGTGCGAAGTTGATTCCCTCAACCCTTGAACCCCTTGCAGAACCTCCAATAAAACTTGCAAGAACACAACAGTACCTACTTTGGGGCATATAGCCTACAAGTAGTACCTGCTTCGGGCTCTTTGGAGTGTTAGGGGGCATGAGCCCAGGGCACTTCGGGACGCAAGACGACCTTAGCCTGCACATGGCGACGCTGACGATGCTCAATCCGGACGTGGAGCAGCCCGGCTTGTGTTTTTCTAAGGGGTTTTAGGGTTTAGTTTAGGGCTTAGAGTTGAGGGGTTAGCTTCTACTTCCCCAAAACGGTGAGGTGCATATGATGGGGTTCCAACGTTAGGTGTGAAGGAAATCGAGGCCGGTATCCATGGAAAAGCATCTTGCCTGTCCTCCAGAATCCTCTTGATTCCACCAGTAATATAGAAGCCAAAATAGTTACCAATACTACTGTTAGGGTTCCTTATAAGAATAACAATATCAACGAGCCCAAAACCCTACTCTAATAATTAAGCCCCCTACATTATCTCGCCAGTGTTTGGGGGAAGCATCTCGGCCGTGTCCCGGTCCTGGGATGAGAGAGTTCGAGGACTTGTTTGGGCAGTGGTGAGTTTAGAATAGTTGTTCGGTCGAAGCTGAGCACGCAGCACTGGTGGGTCCTAAAATCCTGCCTCGATCTGGTTACAAAGCACCGCCAGAACCCAATCTATCCTAAACCCTAAACCCTAAACCCTAAACCCTAAACCCTGAACCCTGAACCCTAAACCCTAAACCCTAAACCCTAAACCCTATCCTTCAGCTCTCTATACGAGAGTTTTCAGAAGCAGGAGGCCCCAAGTAGTGAGCCCTTGATAGCAGAACCCTTGCTAAGGACTCCAGGTAAGGCAGCACTTGACTTGTCAGAAATGTCACTGTTCGAGGTTCAAAGTGCTGGATAGAGTGTCTGTTTGGGCACAGCCAGGCAGCTTAAAGGATCCAATTTCTGGCTATTGGGTTTAGGGCAAGTTTAGGGTTTAGGGTTTATGGTATTATTATGGCCCGCATACCAAACCCTTACAGTGACCTTTGTTTCGAACATTTTCAATCCTTATAGACCCTTTCAAAAAGGAACCCTTAAAGGAGCCCTGTTCCAATGATTAAGTTAGGTTTCGACTGCGGCCGCCACCAGCCCATGCCGAGGCTAGACACCGTCAAGAGGCTCCTCCCGGTGGCTTGACATCTTGGCACAAAGCCTTTAAAATAGTTTCCTTAATGATTAGAATAGGGTTTTGGGGCCCAATATACTATGATTATAAGAAGGAGCCCCGAAAATCAGTATAGGTACTTGTTTAGGCCGCTATATTATACGCTCCGGCAAAGCCGACAGCCTATAAAGCACCACCGAAAAACTAGACTTCGTAGGTTCCCAGCGTCGTTGATTCCTAAGACCAACGATCCTTTAAAAAAAAAGGTTCCTTGTTATGATTATACCTATAGTCTCCATTGTAGTTCCTTTTGTTGGTTTAGCCAAATATATATATATA